GCCGGAGGGAGGAGGGGCAGCGGTGCTCCGCCCACCTTTGCTTAGCGGCTGAATTGGGTGCCCCCCACCCCTTTCCGCGGGTGGTTTCCGCTCCGTGCGACCCGGAGACCTACCCTGGCCTGGGGCTTCCTCATGCCCCTCACCTTCCTTTGGAACCAGTGGACAAAAGGCTGCCCACCCCGTGGGTCATGGGCAGGTGTCTCCACGTCCCCCCACCCGCCGCCCCCACTAGCCGCCATCCTGTGGGTGCGCCTAGAGCTTGAACCCCGGGAGAGCAGGGACCTTGCCTGCCTGGCCCGGGCTGCATCCTGGCCCCCCAGCCCGGGCTGCATCCTGGCCCCCCAGCCCGGGCTGCATCCTTGTCCCCCAGCCCCGGCTGCATCCTTGTCCCCCAGCCCGGGCTGCATCCTGGCTCCCCAGCCCGGGCTGCATCCTGGCCCCCCAGCCCCAGCTGCATCCTTGTCCCCCAGCCCGGGGTGCATCCTGGCCCCCCAGCCCGGGCTGCATCCTTGTCCCCCAGCCCGGGCTGCATCCTTGTCCCCCAGCCCGGGCTGCATCCTTGTCCCCCAGCCCGGGCCATCGGCGCGGGGCCTCCGCGGGGTCTGCCGTCGGGGACCGCGGCTTCCCTCGGCGGCCTCTCCCCGCTTCACCGCCTCAAGGCCTCCTCCGCCCTTGCCCGGGCCGGCGAGACCCCGGGTCCCTCCTCTGACCTAACTTGTCACCTACCCCGCAGGCTTGACCCCACTCTATCATTCATCCCGCAGACTTCCACACGGACGTCTGACGGACCCCATCTCCAGTGGCAACTCCCCCACGACCCCGTAGCATGGTTTCCGATCCCTCCAGATCCCACTACCCTCGGACCTCTCCCTCCTCCCCATAAATCCCAACCTCCTCCTAATCCTGGGTCCTGCGCCCACCTTCCCCCCAGCCCAGTGCTCTCCGTGGAGACCTTCTCTCCTGAGCCCCCTGAAGCTCACCTGGGGGCCAGCTCAGGAGCCTCCTCCTGGAAGCCTCACCTCACTTGCCAGTGGCTGGTGCTGCCTGCCTTGGTCTGGGCATCTGTAACCCTCTGAGACCGTCACCTGCCCCGGCTTGCCCCTCCCGCCTGCACAGCACCCAGGGTGGGGCCGGGCGCTTTGTGCCTGAACTCCCAGCAGCAGCACAGAGCCCGGCACACAGTGGGCCTTGGAAAGTGTTTATTAATTGAACCCGTGCTTTTCCGCAGAGAGGGTAAAACAGGAGTTGCTATGGATGGGTGACACATCGGCTTAGAGAAGCTGAGTCGCTTGACCAAGGCCACCCAGTTACCAAGTCCCAGTGCTGGTTGCAGAGCCCCACACTCCTTCTGTGCCTCTGGACCCCCCTGTGGCCCCTCAAGGTCCACCCAGAGCATATGAAGTGTCACTTTTCAGGTCCCTTGGCTGAGTCCCTGAGGCTTCTCTGCCTTGATGACCCTACATGAAGGAGGTGGGGTATGGGGTGGCCTCTACCAAAAGCTGAGATGCCCAACTCTGCAGGGGAACTGCACCTCCTGTGAGGGGCTTCATGACGCCCAGGACTACGCCCACGTACGCTCAGCACTGAAGATCCTCATGTTCTCTGATGCTGAGAACTGGGACCTCAGCAAGCTGTTGGCAGCCATTCTCCACCTGGGGAACGTGGAGTTTATGGGTAATGATCTCCTCGGACAGCACCACTGGGGGAGAAGAAGGGAGCCAGGAGAGGAGGGGAAAGAAATCTCTCAGGCTCTCACCTGAAGAGCCCCCCGAATCACATGGTCTAACCCTGCCCTAGAAAAACACATGGAAAGTAGCTATACTTGTGGAGGCCTTGAGAGGTTAAGAAAAAGCTGTCAAAGATTAGGGCACTCCAAAGATCAAGACTCGATCAGTCACCCCCCACTTTTAGCCAACACCCCAAAAGGCTACCCCTCAGGGTGAGGGTAGAGCAGAGTAAGCGGAGCCGCGTGGGCTTGCACACCAGTGCGTAAGCCTCCAGGCGGCCTGGGTTGCCCTATCCTGCCAGCTCCGGGAGCCCCTGCCCTGGAGGGCACAGTGAGGAGACCAGCGCACCTTGAACTGGGGTCCTAAGGAGAGGGAGAAAGTGAAAACATGGGGGGGGCGATGATTCATCTCCTCCCTTAATAGACCCCCTCCACACCCCACACCCTGTAGCCCGGCCCAGTCCAGTATTTGAAGAGACTACGGTTAGCTCTAGAACTCATGAAACACCAATTCACAGAGCAGTGGGGAAAGGACAGACTTTTAATAAACTGCTCTGGGGCAACAAGAACCTGGGCCACTGTCTCACACCATCCGAGGAAAGCTATCCAGTGAGTTGTGGCAGGCGGCCATGTACTGTATTAACCAAACCGGGCACTTCTGCTGGTGAAAGGGGGCGACAAGCAGGGGCACCGGGTCGGGAGGGGGATTTTAAATGTGATGCTGAGGAAATGAAGCCAGGCACAAAGAATGCAGACCTTCACATCACCCTTACACAGAGTTTAAAAACCAGTGAAACTAAATGCTGTTCAGGGATTAATTATATAGATAGTCAAAAGATGACAAAAAAACAGGGGCATTTTTCCATGACCCTGGGGAGAGCGGTTACCGGAGAGAAACAGGGTCTTAGCAGGAAGGGGCTATGCTAAACTCCGGGGGCCCGCAAGGCTCTGTATTTTGACTTTAGTAATGGTTGCAGTGTTGACCTAATAATTACTCATTGTAACATGCCTTTGGGTTTTATGCATTTTTTTATCTGTATGCTTCACTGTGCAATGTTTTAAAGTTAAAAATTACACACACACAGAAATCACTCCTCTTCCGCAATCCTGGCAGCCCTAAGGTGGAGGCTGACTCAGAGAGGAGGAACTTGAACTAGGGAGGCCATCGGGAGACTTCCAGGCTCGTTAACGTTGTCTTATCTGACAAGGAACAAGCGAATGTCCAGGTTTCTATGGACTGCAGAGCGTGTTGCCCTGGAGACATGGGGGCACGATGATTCATCTCCCCCCTTATTAGACCCCCTCCACACCCCCACACCCTGTATGTAGCCCAGCCCAGTCTACCAGGCTTCTCTCCCAACGAGCCAGAATTTCTTCATACTTCCTTTTGAGCCAGGCCTTGATCTCAGGAGCTGAAGATGAGGGACCTGGGGGAGGTAGAGCCTCAGGGCTGGGACTGGCCCAAACCTGCCCTCAATGGGGCCTCTGTTGCGTCACTTCAGGGTGCTTTGCCACTCAGGGTCATTCTTCTCCCTACAGCCGCGGTCTTTGAGAACCTGGATTCCTCCGACGTGGTGGAGACATCTGCCTTTCCCACAGTGGTGAAGTTACTGGAGGTAGCTTGGCCTCTATGTCTGCCAGCTTCCGTCTTTGTGAGGGGCCCCCAGGGGCCTGGGCTGAAAGACCCCTGACTCCTGATTCTAATAATCCTTCCCAGGCTCTCTTGCTCCTGTTTCTGACCCCTCTCCCAGGCTCTCAGCTCAACCCATGCACCCTTCGGCCCATGGCAGGCCCTGGGGTGGGAAGCAGAGTGAGGCAGTGTGAGCTAACCGTTAAAGTAGCAAAATGATGCCTCACTCTCCACCCCACTCATCTCCAACCTCTCCCTCTGGGCCACCTGACCCAGTGACCTTACCCTTGATCTTCCCCAGCTCCCATCAAACTTCCCCGCCTACAGCCTTATCCTTAGGGCTTCCCCATGAGCCAGGCTGATCTGGGACAGTGAGGCGTGCTCACACCATCAGCCCCCAGCGTAGTCCACAGAGAAATGGATCCTCACTTGGAAGGCACTGCGGGCTTGGGCAAGGACATGTCTGCACTGGGAAATCGTGGTGGCTTCCACATCACACTCCACTGGCTGTTCTGGTGGGAAATTAATAGAATCAGAAGCACAAAAAGGAAGAAGGAAAGAAGGGAGAGAGGGAGGGAGGGAGGAAGAAAAGGGAAGGACAAGCAGTCCCATTTAGGAACGTTTGCTGCTTGTGTTGGTCATTTGGAGCAGGGTTCTTAGGAACTTTGGGGCTTTGCCTGCTCGGTCTTCCTTGCATGGTGGGGCCCACCCATAATGTTGACTCTGGTCCCATCTCGCCTTGCCCTCGTCATAGGCATCTCCCACCCTCAGGCATTGGGCATAAGGTATTTGTTCCTGAGAGGGAATAAGACATGGCACAGTCAGGTCAGAATCCTGGAACCAGGCCCTGTCCTGCAGCTGTCTACCTGCCTTCCCAGGTGACACACCAGGCGCTCCGGGACTGTCTGATCAAGCACTCCATCATCATCCGCGGGGAGTTCGTCACCAGGCCTCTGAACATCGCCCAGGCTGCAGACCGGAGGGATGCCCTTGTCAAGGTGCAGGGCTGTGGGAGAAGGGGCAGCTGCCTGTGGAGCATGGCTCCTTGCCCCATGGGCGGAGAGCAGGACAGGGCAGAAACAGCTGGTCAAGTCCCAGTTCTGCCGGTCACCTGCTGGTGACTGGGCCTCCTAGCCTCTCTGGGCTTGGCTTCTTGCCTTTAATGTAGGGATGATAACCTTAGTAGATCTGTGAGGGCAGCCTTTCTGGGTGGACTCGGAGGAGGGAGCAGCCTCCTCCTGTGCTTCACAGCCCATTGGCTGTGCCCCATGTCTCCTCAGGGCATCTATGGGCACCTCTTCCTGTGGATTGTCAAGAAGATCAATGCTGCCGTTTTCACTCCGCCTGCCCAGGACCCCAAAAATGTGCGAAGGTCCATCGGCCTCCTGGACATTTTTGGCTTTGAAAATTTCCACAACAATAGGTATGAAAATCTCAGTTCACCTGCTTTCAGAAAATAAGCCGGACTCCTCACTGAGCAAGCTAGAGGGCAGCCATTGTTCCCCCTGGGCTCCCACCTCCAATCATAGGTGCCAGGGTGAGTCCACTGGGAAGACCTGAGTCTTTCTGTAGGGAGAACATCTGTGCATGTCCCCTGGCACCCATAGCATGTCTAGAGAAGGCCCCATAGCTACAAGCATCCCAAGTGCCAGGCCTCTATCACCCCTCTTGAGCCATCTGCTCTCCTCATGAACCTGAGTGAACTGTCCCGTGAGGTTGGGGTGAAAATGAAAACCAGTAACATCGACTTGACTGCATCTTTAGGTGGTATAGCATCCTAGGTAAGGGAGAAGGTAGGGGACTTGTTGACCATCCCTGATATTTTAGTGTGGCGGGGGTAAGGCAAGGCAGGACACGGCTGACCCAGTGTCCCAGCAGCCCTGATGGAGGCTGAAGAGCTGACTGGGAGGCAGGTCAGAGGAGCTACCCAGCGGTAACTGGTGAGGCTGGGATGAGGGGAGACAGGGTGGTGAAGGGGGCCAGGCGGTGGAGGCAGATATGGACAGCTGATGTGCTGGTACATTATCAAATGGCAGAGGAGGCCAGGTGAAGAAAACGAAGGTGGGACAAGCAAGCAGGAAGCACCTCGATACAATCTAGCAGACTCCGGAGCCCGGTTCATTAAAGGACTTGGCAGGACAGAGCCTAGGACTGGTTCAAGAAGTGGACACCTCTGGGTACCGTCTGAGGAGCTGAGGGGCCATCCCCACCTTCACTTGCCCCTGCCCAAGGCCCCGTCTCAATGTGAAGTCTTAGAGGCCCCCTTGGTGAGCCGGGATTGTCAAGACACAAGCCATTCCCAATGCAAGCACACTGAATGGTAGGCTCCCAGGACCAGCTGTGCAGGCAGGGCAGGCAGCATGGAAGGACTGGCAGAATTAGGCCCAGTATGATGGGAGCTCTAAGGCCTGGTAAACTAAAATGTGGTCTGGATGATTGGTTTCTGTCCTCAAGGGGGACAGGTGAGCAGACCAAGCACACCCTGGAAACCTCGGAGGAGCATGAGTAGTTGGTTGTGGGGATCTGGCCACTTATGCAGGGACCCCTCCCTGAAGGAGCCACGGCTGGGGTTTGTCACAGGGCTGCAGTGGGGGGCCTGGCCCAGCACCCAGCCACCTACTCAGTCATGCCTTCTGCAAGTGTACCCTGAGCCCTCTCCAAGCAATGTGTTGGGAGTGGGGAGCATGGCCGACCTGTGTCCTCACCTCCTGGGTTAACAGATGTTGAACAAGTCCAGGCATGATGAGGTTCTGCATGAACTGGTAGCCCATCCTGAGGCAGAAATGCCTAAGTGAGGCCCAGGGGGTGAACGAACTGGGCCGTGTGGTGAGGAAGGAGAGGAGCAGCAGCAAATGTGTGAAGACTCAGAGATGAGGAAGAACTGGGGCCCTCCACAGCACCTCAGAAGTCCCTGCAGCCACCCCCTGGGACAGAGGCAGGCTTCCTACTGTGCCCCTGTCCGGACCCTGCCTGAGGGGCAGGGAGAGCTGGGGCCGGCCTGTCAGAAAGCTTCCTCTCCTGGTGAGCTGGAAAGGACTGAGGGGCAAGACTGAAGCCTTGGGAGGCCAGTCCCCACTCCAGGTGGGCAAGGAAGGTAGCAGCAGTAGGAGTGAAAAGAAGTAGAGGCCAGGGCACTGTGTTGAACAGAGCACGGACCAGACTTGGACACTGATTGGAAGTTGGGCAGAGGCAGAGGGAGGTGTCAAGCATGACTTCTTGTTTTCTGACTTGAGCCAGGGGTGATGCGTAGATGGACCCTCTCCCAAGGTGGGGAGCCCGGGAGGAGCCCTGCAGTCAATACTGAGTCTCCAGAAGCTCCTCTTGTACCAAGGCCACTTGCCCATAGGGCTGGGCTGTCACAGGACACATGGTTTCCCAAGGATTATTTCCACGTCAAGATAGCAGACCTGGCAGAGGACCCTGTAGGGGATTGGTAAGGAGCCCAAGGCAGGGACTCCATGGCTCGCCTTCATCAGTGAGGGCCTTCTCCTTTCTTTTCGCTTGTTTGCCACAGAGTGGAAGAGGCGAGGTGATGAGGCAGAGGCAGAGAGCAGAGGGAGGGTGTGTGTCCTCGTGCACACAGGGCTCCATGTGAAAGGGATGTGCGTTGTGGGCACATACGTGTGGCTCCATGCAAACACACACACGGCTTGTGTGCCACGGTTCACACCAGCTGCAGCAGGGACACACTGACCCAGCTCCGCCTGGTGGCGGCGTTGCCTCTGCAGCTTCGAGCAGCTCTGCATCAACTTCGCCAACGAGCACCTGCAGCAGTTCTTTGTGCAGCACGTGTTCACCCTGGAGCAGGAGGAGTACCGCTCAGAGGGCATTGCCTGGGACTTCATCCAGTACACAGACAACCGGCCTACCCTGGACCTGCTGGCCCTCAAGCCCATGAGCATCATCTCCCTCCTGGATGAGGAGAGCCGCTTCCCACAGGTGTGTCCCCGAGCCTCCCACGCTCTCGTTCAGACCCCCCCCCCCAC